GTGTGCACATATATCTGACTCGTTGTGTGTGTGTGTGTGTTTGTGTTTGAAATTCGCATTGTATAAGCGTCCAAAAGTACGCGCACCACCTTGGACACAAACGTGCCAACCAGTTGACAAGTCAACCAGACCAAGACTCAGCCATCAAAGATAAGACAGGTAGGCAGCAGGCAGGCCGAAGGTAGGCAGGGCTGTCAGACAAATTGGCCAAGGCATGCGTTTTAACCGAAGTGCCAAACGATGACTTCCAAATTCGAAGCTGTCCATAAGTGTTTTTGCCGTTTTCTTCCTCGTCGCTTGGGTTTATTAGGCCCTTTGGGTTTATCGTCTAAATTCAATTAGTTGTATTTTTAACGTTCAGGGAAATACCATAAATATGAGTCCAATGAGTAAGCCAATTGCTACTGATAATAAACACCAGCCTTTATCGTAATTGGGAAGCGGCGTTTGTCAGCAAAATTCCAAATATCCAGATGGTGTAAAGGTCTTCTGTGCCTAGGCACTACAGGAAACAGAAGTACAGAAACAGGAAATTAAATCGAGACCGTGATGTTTTATAATACACAGATATTTTCTATCATTTTTACAAAGTCTAAAAAGTGCGCCGTCAGAATTTAATTTAATCTTAAAACAATTAAATCGAAGATAAGTCTGTAAGCTTACAATTATTCTAATTTTGCTTTTAAATACAAAAATTTATTAATTTAAAAGATACAATCAATAAAACCAATTTTAATTAAACCGTAAACTGAGGTATTACTTGTATAAAAAAAACTTATAAATACCAGCTATATAAAATAATCAGGCAATATATGGATTCCAATAAACTTGCTCTGCGTATGGATAATTCAGGTCTACAGGGTGCGCCATCTTGAATAACTTTGTCATTAGTGAACCGATTGACTTGAGTAGACCAGTGTTGATAAATAAAAATATCTCATACTTGAAAATCGGTTGTTTTTTTTTCAAAGATATTCAATGTTTACATACCGACATAAAAGATGGCGCACCCTGTATATACCAAGCTTGGCGTCCCTTGCATATAACATGGGGTCCGCCACACCTCCATTTGCCTCTTACATACATTACATCTAGAAATAAGAATCACCTTTTAAATATACAAGTATTTTAGACTAATGTAAGTTCTAGTTGCGATCACAATTCTGGCAAAAAAAAATTTATTTAGACGCTCAGGCATATGTTTACAAGTAAAATAATTCTTAAATGATATTTGTTGCTTTGACACAATTTTAAAATTCTACGTTCTATTTCTAAAGTCTTATTTGAATTAAAGAAGAAGGAATAAAATTTTCCGAGAAATCTTGAAAATCTTGAAATATTTATTATGCTTTTGAATAATATTTTTATAAAAACATCGCATTGGAATGAAGTTAAAGTAAAATGAATACAACAAAGTAAAATCCGGCAAAGTCCTTTGCTCATTGAGTTTGAAGGTAAACAAGATGCCATGGTGCTAATTATGGCTAATGGAACTCTCATCCAAAATGTAATTGAAGGATTCATAATCAATGTCGGTGGAATCCCCGGATTTAACTTTATATCGAAACTGTTTTTGTTTTGATGACGAACTCTTTTGCAATGCCTTGATTGTAGTATGTGTCATCAAATGTCTCGAAAAAAAATAATTGCTATGGTTCGAACACTCACCCACCAGCGTAGGGTCTGAGCCTGTCTAAACTCAATCAGCTGGCTGGGCTGCTTGTTGCTACCTCTTTCCGATTTCACGCCTAATTAGGTTTTCTAAACTAACGATTAACACTGAATTTGCAATAAACAAGCATTAGACGGGCGAATTGTTATCTCCCAGCGCCCAACTACAAGTATTTCCCGAATCCATGTTGTTGTTGCTCTCTGGGGGGCGTATCTTTGCCGGGCCGCATGGATGCCCCTGTTGACTGGCTCTAATTGATTTGGAAAATGCAAGCGCTACTGAAAACTAGCGAAAAACTGACAATAAACAGATACATACTCGCATCCAAACATACATATACACGTATATAAACATTTGCGTGCGCTTAAGTGACATTTTGGCGCCGCCTCCGATTTCGTTGCCAATCCGTGAGGTAGTCGGATTCGGAAACAGCAGGCGGGTGGTTGGGCACTGTCAGTGTGTGTGCAGCATGGCTTATTGATTGTTTACTTAGACGACAATAAATATAGGTACATCTATGCATATATTCGTTCATATACATACATATGTATGTAATCCACACCCATAAGCCCATTCTGAGTTGTCTTGCCACCAACATCCTCCGATGTCTTGGCTTGTTTGCGAATTTGTTGATTTGTTGACTCGACTTTATCTTTTCTTGGTACTTTTGCCTCCAGTAGAGTATATTATGTAAGAGATGTTGTTGCTGCTGTTGTTGTTGCTGTTGTTGTACACATGTTGCTGCGATTTGTGCCGCTGTGTGTTTACCTCGACCATTTCAATTGTCAACAGTGAGAGCTGTGTTGCGGACGCGCCCATCTTTCGACAAGATCGATCCGGTCCTCAATATCGACCGTCAGATTTCATAATTCATGCAAAACAGCGCCAAATTTATTGGCGCTGCCCGTTGATGCTGTTGTCCGCGTCACCGACTTGAGATGTAAATACATTCATACCATATATGTATGTACATGTACCGAAACGGCTTTATGCTTGGCGTGCCACTGACCCACACAACAGCAAAGCAGCAGCAACAACATCATCATCATCATCAATTGCGACAACAGCTGAAGCAACACTCAACGTTAATAAAGCAACAACAACAACGCACATTTTTTGTCATCGCGATATTGACCAAGAGATAACGCTTATATAACAATTGCTCTGAGCTCATTGTTCATGACATTCAAAATAAGACTGAAGTGGTCAAGTGCGTCGTCTCCTTTGACTCGGAGAAGGCCGTTGCAAGACCTGTTACAGGTTTTTAATTCAACATTAATAGGCGGCAGTACTTAAAGCTTTCTACAATCTGTATTTTCGAAATGAAAACCAAATAGTATTGTTTGGGAAAACGCTTTTAATTAACCACTTTTCTTCCGTTTGTTTTTCAGAGTTTAAAAAACGTAGTTAGTACTTGTAACACATAGTCTTCGATTGTTTTTTTGGAATGGGCTTTTGAAATTGGAATTTCTTAGCCTCTCAATTTATTATGCGTACAACTGTTCTATCGAAATGCTTTAATTTGTTTTCAGGTTTTGGCAAAGGTTCAATTGATTTCCGTTACATTTGACCGTGTGAACATGTTTACTGGACAATATGCTGGTCCTGGAAAGCTTTCAAATTTAAAAGAATTCAATGTATTATAACACAGAGTACAGTTTTCAAGCATTGGCTTTTAGAAATTATGTAGGCCAGTCCGTCAAAAGTTGGGACTTAAAAGTACGATTGCTGCAGACCTCTTACGTGGATTGAGGGGATGTTAGACCAATGGAATGAGGTATTTCACAACAACGAAAGAAAGTTTTAAGACAGGCGATATGAAGATATTTAATTGATATTTTATAATTCTTGTTGGTTGGCTAGAATTGGGATGTTTGAACATCTGAATAGTTGGTTGCATTTAAAACTAAACATAACTAATTTAAATGATAAGTTTACTAAAATATTTGGGCGGCCCCATCTTAAAAGGACTAAAATGGGTTAATAATTAGCAACTAAAAAGAACTTAAATGGGCTAAGAAATGGGCAATAAAAATATTATTTATAAATATGCACTTGGGCTTTACTTACACAGCTACAGGTTTTTTTATTTTTGTACATTTTTGTTCCACAAATAAATTGACATTTATTAGTCAATTTACATATCGCGTGTAAAATGAAGAAAAATGATTCTTAAAACTCGAACCTGTTGAACGCACGCTTAGCTAAACGGTTGATGACCGACGGAGGATGACGGCAACGACTTCGGTGACAATGACCAGTTACTCGTATCTGAATGGGCCTAATCCAAGTGTCCGAAAAATTACTCAAGCACTCGTGCCTTCGATTTGAATTCGTTAAGCCAAACGGCATTGTACCGCCTTTGATTTATTCCCACTGTGGTGGCATTTTTGGAACGCCACCCCCATAATGTGGTCGGGGACAGACGCGGGCTCGTCCCACAGAGGGCCTGAAACAAAGCGCAATCTTTTTGTCTGGCAGCTGACCTTTACTGTCTGCCTCCGTCTGTCAAATATTCACTCAGTGAAGCAGTCGGGTAGTCAGTCAGTCAGGCAGTCAGTTCGGCATTCATTCATATGATTGACGTATTGAAAATACAAATAACCGTTTTTATTGATTAAAGTGGAAGTGCATTTATATCGACACTTGTGTATGAGGCTTACTATTAAATAGCCGCTAATGCATACCTTTCCAATTCCAACGGGCCGTTATGCATTTGTGTGCATCTATAATTTCCTGATCTATCGTGTTGATTAACGTTCAAGTGCTGTGTTTTTCAATTGCATGAATTGTGTTTTTAATGCAATGCATGGACGTGTTCCACGCTCAAAAATAAATCTGCCCACAAAAAATGCAAAACAAAAAGTATAAAAAAAAAAAAAAAAAAAAAAGAAAATGTTAATCGCCGTAACTTGTTCTCACTTTATTTCTCATTCTTTCGATCTACGATACCCCATTGTCAGGTTCAATGTCATTTAAAAGCGGATCGGCTTGTCTTTCGTGCAATCTGAACTTGTTCAGCATCTGTAAATTGCTTTGTTTAAGTCCTGTCCTTTGAAGAGCTTGGAATATTTTTTTTCCCGTAGTGGTTGTAAATTTTCCATAATCATTAAAAAATACACTGACTTCTAGAATAATTGCTTGTCGGCTTGCAGTTGGCTGTGGTTGTTAACTCACAACACTTACACAAAAGAAAAAAATGTTGTCAGTCTATAAATAATTTTCGGACAGGGTTTTTCCACTTGCCATACAATTTTACACCACCTTCAACAATTTTTGAGCTCAATTCTTTACAAAAATTGACAACTGTGTTTTATTGTCGTTGCAGTTAAGACCATAGACATCAATTTAGTAACATTCCTGCGTTTACAAACCCCAAAAAGTAACAACAAGCAATATGGATATACTTTTGCACGATGCCTACGCCTGGTACAGAGACCTCATGGACAATAAGAGTGGTAAGTGTCTGGGCGATATTGCACCCGAACTGTACATTTACACTGATGTTGCACTGATGATTCCATTATACAATCAGCACGTTCTGCTTCTTGTTATACCCATGGGTTCACGCATATGTATATCAAGATGTGTGATCTGACAAATCGATTCATTCATGCCCATCTGTCCATTCGTGCGAACATCGAAAAGATTATTACAAACCAAATAAATATTAGAGCAACAGATGCAGAAATTACTTTCGTTTTATTGTAACTAAGTTTGGTATTTCACTTGAAACTCATTTGAACTTTCAGACCCGCGTGTCAATGACTTCTTCTTGCTGTCATCGCCACTGCCCACGCTCGGAATGTGTGTGTTCTACGCCTACTTTAGTAAATTCCTGGGACCAAAACTGATGGCCAAGCGAAAGCCAATGGACTTGCGCAAGGTGCTAGTCTATTACAATGCGATACAGACAATCTTTAGCGCGTGGATTTTTTATGAGGTATGGTGGCAAGTCCGACTTTGACTTCGACTCCGATTCCGACTCAAACGTGTGAATATTCAATAAATTTTCCTTTTACAGTATTTGATGAGCGGTTGGTGGGGTCACTACAGCTTTAAATGCCAACCGGTAGACTTTAGCAACAGCCCCTTGGCCATGCGCGTAAGTTTGTTTGGAGTCCATCCTGAGCGCATGAAACTAATTGCCTCTCTCTTTCTATAGATGGTGAACATTTGCTGGTGGTATTACATATCGAAGTTTACAGAGTTCTTTGACACGCTCTTCTTCATTTTGCGTAAGAAGAATGAGCACGTATCAACGCTTCATGTCATCCACCATGGCTGTATGCCCTTCTCGGTGTGGATGGGCTTGAAGTTTGCGCCAGGTGCGTAGCCCTAGCCAGACTGCGATAAGATTACACTTTTGGCTTGGGGCGGCATATACTAATTAAAAATTCTGCTTATCTTTGCTTTATCCCTCATCAGGTGGTCACAGCACTTTCTTCGCACTGCTCAACTCATTTGTACATATTGTAATGTATTTCTACTATATGATTGCCGCCATGGGTCCAAAGTATCAGAAGTACATCTGGTGGAAGAAATACCTGACCACCTTCCAGATGGTTTGTAGAACGCACCATATTGATGGTGGAAATATTAATAACATCGATGACTGTTTCAGGTGCAATTTGTGGCCATCTTCACGCATCAGTTCCAGTTGCTGTTCCGCGACTGCGACTATCCAAAAGGTTTCATGGTCTGGATTGGTCTGCATGGCGTTATGTTCCTATTTTTGTTCTCCGATTTCTACAAAGCCAAATATCTGAATGCGCAGCGTCGCCGTCGGCAGGCAGTAAAGGCGAACGGGCATTCCAACGGACTCCAGTCCAATGGCACATCAAAGCACTTGGGTTCAGGCGACGCCCCGCTAGCCAATGGCGGCAACAAAGGCGCTTGTATGGTACGTGCACGTCCAAATGGGATCAAGAATAGCTAGTCCTTGAAACCTATTAGGCTGAACGCAAAAGCAATCTAATCGGCAGGCCCAACCACTCAACAAGCCATTGTTTGTCAACTTGAAAATTCTAACTAGCTAAGTTAAACAAACACATAACACAGCGCACTTGCAAACTTTCAACGTTCGGCGTCGGCGGGGGCCGTTTCAATTAACGCGCACATGTGAAACCGGATGCTAAGGCCCAATCATGTTGGTGGTGGTCATTAGAAAACCAAAACCATCCACATGCTAGCTGAGCTCTACTGTGTGTTGAGAGTGTTGAGTGTGTCGAGTGTGAATGCGAGTGCGAGTGCTCACAATGTCGCATTTGAACTTTGCCACCATTTTCATTGGGCTACAATGCCACTCGAGTTAGTTACTGAATTGGCGTTCACACAACTGAGACTAATAACTTAACTTAGTTACCAGAACGGAATTTGTCGGTATTTAACATTTTCCCAAGAGTGCTCAACTTCCCCAATACCTACACCCTACAGAAGGGAAGAAATAGGTTTTTAATGAGAAACTTAGAATATCCAAGAAATGAAATCTAAACATAGCCTATAAATTTGCAAATCATTTCAATTAATTTTAAATATTTTATCTACTAGAGAAAGAAGTTTGTATTTGGGTTTTTGAATAGATTGCATTAACTAATTTATTTATATAAAAAATCGGTGAATTGAACGTTTTCTCTTCTCTACAATTGCAGCCAGTTTTGGATGATGAATACGTCAACAGCAATGGCAATGGCAATGCCAATGCCAAAGTCTTCGAGGACGCCGCCTTCTTCAAGGAGGGTGGTTTCTCCACGAACGATGCCATCTTGAATCCGGATAGCAGTAGCTCTAGTCTGCATCAGCGCAAAGTCAAATAACTACTACTAAGACCTACTACGATGATATTCATAAAGATTAATTTAAGTGTTTAGCATGTAAAATGGAGAACAAGGCAAAGTGGAGCAGCAGCTACATATACAAGTATAGCTATGGCAGAAGCAGATACAGAAGCAAATGCAAAAGATGACCGTTTGCATCAAAATAGCAACAGCAACAACAAAAACAGCAACAGCAACAGATATTAAGATTTTTATGTTCTTTTTAATAATTTATATAAGATTGCAAAAGAACAAAATACACATAGCAGCTATGCACACCAGATGTTAATGGGATCACATGAAAACGCAACAGCATTTATAGCTTTTGTATATAATGGAAAAGTATATAACAGAAACAGCAAGAGAAGCAAAAACAATAACAACAAACGTAACACAACCCCACCCAGCCATTAAGTTAACTGAGCAAATGGACACTAGAGAAGAGAAAGAACAAACATAAAAAACAGAATATAGGCTACTTTTATATATACTATATATATATACATATATATATATATTTACTACGATACAAACCAACTCTATTTTATACAAGTGCAAATTATATAAATGTTTAAAACTCTCCCTTGACATGCGATATAACAGAAGCAACTAAAACCAACTAACTATAATTATGCGTGTACTCATTTGCCCGATATACATATACTTGTACTATAGTACATAAATACGTACGCATTTGCAGAAGATATTTGTAAAAGTATTTGTGTTTCTCTGCCCATTTGATATAGCCAAGCGTATGCTAAGCTAGCGACAAGGGCATTTTATAAGTACATGCTGAACATTCATATATAACTAACTAAACTACTTTACGTTACACAAACCTAAATCTAGTTGTAAACTTTTGTATGAGAATTTTTGATATCGAGAAATGAATTGTGAACGCATAAAACGTTGAAAACAACAAACTTGAAGCCTGCTTTAAATTTAAACGTTAAACTATTTGTAGCCTGTTTTGTACATTGAGGTGTGAGTAAGGTTTGTTGCAATACTTGTAAAAGTCTAATAGCTAAAGTTATATACATGATACATGATGGTTGATGTATGTACATGTAGAGTGATGTTGTAGTTAGCTAGCCAATTGAAAAGAAACCAATCAACAAATTAAGTAGCACAAAAGCTAATACTGAATCAAAACAACACCGAAATATACTTTTAGACTAAGTGCACAAAACTAAGGGAGCAACTTTAAGTTAAACACATTTCAGACAATCAGTTTCCGAACTGTTCTCACACGTAAGATTTGTCCAAAAACTATTGTATTCATTCATTTGGTGGCTAATGTGGTTAATGTACGCAGTTTGTTTTTGTTTAAATTTTGATATTATATCTATAAGCATTTACTTGTATGTGGGTGCTTTCATTTTTTGGTTTGTTGGCGTTTTCGTGTAGTTGTTAAATATTTTTTTATTTGCTGAACATATAAAAAGTTAAGAGAACATAGATGTTATTGTAAAACTGTCTGTTAATCTGTGTATTGGAATCTTTGTTAAGTTGTGGTTTAAGCTGACAAGTTCAAAAATAATTATGAAAAAGCTTATTAATTTATATTAAAGAAATACTGCAGAAATCAAATGAAAAACACTAATTTTAATTTCATGGTTAGTAGTTTGGCCTAAAAGTTTCGTGAGTAAAAGGAAGGGCTCTCCCTCTGCGCACACAAGCTCAACATTTTTGTATTACCAATTCTGGCGATAAACTGTAACTTTCGAGGTTTCAGAATTTCTTTCTAGGTCTGTAAACTTCAACTTAGTTTTGGTTTAAATATTTATATTTCTCAAAGTTGTGTATTACATTGGCACCAAAAATACTGTATTTTTCCACTTACAATAATATACGAATATATGTAGTTTTTTCTTTTCAGAAGCAGTTTCCAACATCCTATTAAATGAGGGCGTAGTACCACCCGCTTTTTCAAGATGATGAATGCGCTATCTCTGTTTCTTGGTCAATATGAACAAATTGTGCTACGATAAATAAATAAATGCATACAAGTATGTTCGATTTGTTATGTCAAGATAGGCGCCTTGATAATTCAAATAATCTGCTTTAATTGCTAAAGTAAGAACTTCAAACTCTTTAGAGATCTAATGAAGATTCCATAGGCTGTGATTAGAGCTGAAATTATTATGCATTTTTTCCGAGTCACAACGAATAAAATACAAGTATTTATAACTTCGTTGTCTATTGAATGACTGCCAAATAATTATTGGATTACAACAAATCTTTTTAAAACACCTTTTGGGGCATACTTTTAGGCGCTACATTTTAAGAGCACCGTTGCTTTAATTTTTTGATTACAATATTAATAACATGTAGATGGTACCTATACAATATGCACCAGAGCTATGTATATGACAACTATATTCATGAAAAAGTGCACCGATTTCGAATAAACTTCCGATGAACAAGCTAAGATAAAATCCCTATAGCCACCGAACTGCGATATACAGGTAATTACTAAAAAGGTTTCTGGGCTAAGAGATTTGTTAAGTGATATTAGGCAACTATATGATGCAGCGATACAGTGCAGCGAAATAGAAGATACTTTAGATAATAGGGTATACAAAAAATATTCGACCTATGTACACTAACAGAAAATGTGAGTATTCTTATTCAGTGAGTATCCTTGTCTCTTGCTTGGCAAACTAAGCATATTATAGGAACTGGCTATTCCCAAACAGGATTATTATCTTCAATCACATATAAGTATGAAATCTCAACATTAACTACGCCATAAGAACTGCATAAAAAGCATAGTAGAGCTACAATTTCCAGTTAGTAATTGTTTGATTAAATGTTCTCTCCTCCTGATTTATATTATTACGTTTTACAAATCGACTGTTTTTTTTTTTTTTCTGTTTTTTGAAAAATTGTCTTTAATTATCAGTCTATTTCGCGAAACAGCGGAAATGTTTTATGTGCAATAGCAATGGCGATTCTAAAAAATTGATAAATCTAACAAATAAAAAGGAAGAGGAATTAATTGATAAATGGAAATGTGGAGGATCGACTAAAGTTATATGCAATAAATTTAAGATTTTTCATAAATATATCGTTCTCATTAATCATATTTTCAGTTATCAATTTTTCTTCACTAAGTGGAACTATAAAATGTTAAAAATTAACTGATATACATACATCTATTTAAACATTACATTTATTAAGGCGTATTATAACAAACTTTCCAAGACAAACGGAAGAGTCGACTGACAACCGTTCATGGTCTACCATCCTTTTGGGCTAACAATGTTTCATTCATTAAATTCTATTACATTTAATTTAAGTGCATTTTTCGTAAAGAGAAATTGGTACAATATATTCAAAAAATATTTCACTACTTCATCTCGTTGCACTTCCGAAATTGAACCTTCTGTCTAGTATAGATATAAGTTAAACGGCTGTTCGACAGTTCATTTAGTGCCTATTCAGAAGTGCTAGAAGCTAGATACTTAGCGGGTTATTTATTAAACTGAAGCTAATAATTAAATGCTCTTGACCGTTGCATTTTGAATGCCCTATGCCAATAGTCTCAGGCAAAAGTAAACAAGGGTTAGCGCGTCAATAACATGTCAACAACACTTTAATATACAAATCGGAGGTTTTGCTTAGGTTTGATTGATGTGTGGGCTCTGGACATCGGGCAGTGGACCATGTGGTAAGACCCAAAACTTTACACGCCACACTTTGCACCACAATGCAGTTCAAAATGCATAAAAGTAACTCAAGGAGCCAATCCCATTCGCCCGCTCTATAGAGTAAGTGCCAAGGTCGTTTGCCGCTTGACTGAGCAAAAAGAACAATAGATACATAAATAAATAAATAAATAAACAAGTAAAAGTTAATAACAATAATTTGTTGGCTTAGCATAAAAATTAGCGATTACTTAATTCACTAATTATTGGCAAACAAAGCCACGGGCGCAGGTGAGCTTAGATAAGCCACAGGTGAACGCATACGCAACTATGGCTCGTAAATAGTATTTGACACCTACTTGACCTTGGAAAAGGGCAAGTGTGCATGTGTTGCATGCAAATACAGTAAAAACTCTCTTAAATGAACATTCACAATCGTTCGATCTCTGTGGTCTGCGATTCTGCTTCGCCATCATTCTAGGTACATAAGTAGGTTGCCTAATTTATTTTTCATGGTTTTAATGTAACTTATCAATTCAATTCCCGATATTGAATCCAATTAAGCACAAGAAGCCAATTAATATACATACATGGTATACTTGTATATGGTTAGAAATATTGCACTAAAGGTAAAGGAAATCAATCACTTGTTTTTTATTTTCAGTAATCGTTTGATTTATTAAGTTTGATTAAGGGTTTTCCAACACCAAATAAGTTTCAATGTAATATATTCCTAAAAGTTCCTATGTTTTTCGTTATTGGAAACCACGATCCATTACAACTAAAAACATTATTTTCTTTTTAAAAGTGCCGTTAACACACAAACAATTAGACGTTATAAGATAACTTAATCATTTTAATATTTGTATGTGGGTGTCGGGAACATTGCAAATGGCAGAAAAAGAGGGTAAGAGTTGTTTTCCAGACTATTCTGCAGGAATTTTTTTTATGTACAATAAGGCTTTTGTACTTGCCTCTACATCTATGCAAGTTGGGAAAAAACATGTATGCAGTTTTTGTATTATGGGGTATGCAAATTTTGAGTTAACTAGATGAAACTTGTAGATTCTTCGCACAAGCCTTGGAGCCCCTTTTCCCCCTTTGGAGTTCGATTTTTACAAAACCCTTCTTAGTGCTCACTAACATTGTGAATGGAAACTTGGGTCCAAATTACAGGTACCTAGGTCTTGCTATTTGGGCTCGGCTTTGATCGCCAATCAATCAGGACAAACGGTTTTATATATGTACATATATAGTATAGAGATAATGTGAAATGATTCCGAGCAGCAACACTTCAAAATAGTTTTCGCGTTAGTGGGTTCTCCACAGTACACATGTTAAATTGTTTGT